GGGTGAAAGGATATCCCTCGATTTTTCTTATGAAAAATCGAAGGAGAATCACTATTCTCTAGAAGGAAGGATGAATCTGGCCAAGGGTCACGTCGTACCTCTTGCAAAAGGCGACGATGATAGGGTCTAAGAGACCCAACGTGAAGAGGTAAGTATAAACACTTAGAAAACCCTCCACGTAGGTAGTGATTTATTCCTCGGGCGATGGTACCACCACATGCTTATTGGCCGAGCTTCAATCCTCCTTAACCTTGGTAAGGAGATCATCGATAATTTTGCATATGTACCTCGATACCGATTAGCATTGACCCTATAACGAGGAGGTCTTTTCAATCTTAAAATCTGCAACAGTAGGGCACCCTGCTGGAATGAAATCCTTAAGGGGATATTCCTCTACAGGTCCATCGCTGGTGCTCCATGATGAAGAGGCGACCTCCTTTTGCTGTACAGTTTTAAAAGTTTTTGCCATTATAGAGTAGAAGAAAAGGGAGGATGGTATGCATTTTGCTAAAAGTTCAAGAAATTTGGGTGCAAGAGTTGCAAAGCAAAGGGATTTTTTGAAAAGAAACAAGAATAGGAGGAGCTTTGAACGTAAAGTTTGAATAGAGGAAGGTTACAGTATTTATAGTTTGTCGGTGACGGTTCAGAACCCATGATGGTCGACCAGCAATTGATAGGCATTTAATGCCTTGGTAATTGGACCGGTGGTATGTTTCGATGTCCATTTGTTGCTTACGTCATAATCGGGTGTACCAATGACGTTCATGGCCTACGTCATGGCCCATCAAGACGGGGCTCGGAAATTCATATGTTTCTTTCCATCTTCTCTCCGAGAAATGAGGGGATTATCTATATACGGTCAAAATCGGGCTTGCCCTTTGTATGACTGTTCAACCTTGTGTGATACCAAACCATGGTGCAAAGATAGGTCGTTGTGCTCGTGACCCAGAGACCGATCAAGATCGAGATCGGCCAAGATCGAGACCGAGCAAGATAGAGATCGAGAAAGATCGTGAGAAACTTACCGAGCCAAATAACAGAAAGCCGAAATATCCGCAATCGGGCGAGGATCACAACGGAAATCCCGGCACGTATCAAGAAGAGGCCGATTAATTAGCTAATCATGAGGTTTTTTACCTCATATATAATTGTATCAAGAGTAGGATTCCCCTACTATATAAAGGGGGTATGATCATTTGTAAAATACATCATTTTTACACAATACAAAGCAATATACTATCATTTTCTAGCTTTTATTATCTTGTTACTCTGTTCATAAGTCAGTGGAAACATCTCTTGGTTCAAGGGTGACTGAACTCGAGGGCCAAGGCTATTCAATTTGTGTGGTTTGCATTTATTTATTTATCGTCAATTTCAATATTAATTTATTCTTCTTAATTTGTACTAAGTTATATCACGTATCCTTAAAATCGCGTATAAATTCAATTGTTATCCGATTAAAGGGTAAGCAGTATCTACTTCAAGTTAAAAATCATAGTCGTTGGAACTATATTAAAATTAGAATGACAAGGAATATTCGTGTCCATATATAATAAGTTGGTCTCTATCCTTCCCACCCACCTCATTAATATCTAGAGGAAAAAATCTGAGGGTAGCCTGATGATTAAGAAAATTTTTCTACTCCCTCCAATCTTTACTTTACACCACGCCGACTCCCCTTTCATCATAAGGCGCGGAATTAGACCAAGGGAAATCTCTGTAGGAATAAGTCCTTTATATTTCACACATAGGTGATCGAGACTGATGGTGGTTTGGAACATCCAAGAGGACATCTGATCCACGCTCTCTTCCCTTGGTAAAAAGGAATTTCAAATCTAAATTGGCCTCAAGGCAGAGATGAGCTGACTAGGATCATAAGGTTAAGATAGGGCTAGGCTTTCTCTCATGGATCTTTTTATATTATATTACGATAGACGACCGTTCGCTTTTTCATCACTTTGGCCTGAAGCCAGTCTAGGGTGTAGGCTTGCTTCGCATAGGCTTAAGTCTTATTGCACTAATTAAGTATAGAGTTTTTATACTATCATGTTAAGTTGACTTACAATAATAAGTAACTCTTTATTACAAGTTTGGCTAACTTGGAAAATTGAATAATACCTAATAACAGAGAAATTGATAAATGATATTGCTAGTATAAAAAATTTTACACTGTTAGTGTACATATATAACTTTTATAGTTTTGGTTTGTATATTCATCAAAATGATAACATAAGAGCTTTAGGGTGTCCTGAAAGATATGCTTTCTAATAATGCTATATACTGCTATATAATTACAACTTGTTATTACTCAATAAATACAAAACACCTATGCTTTAGCCCCTGACCTTGCAACGGCAAGCACCAATGTGACTTGGGGGTGGTGATTTAGTGGCAGTGAGTGGCAAGGAGACTGACGCCTAATTCATTTGGAATCGCAGATTTCTTGGTACATCACATTCATGCATCTACCATTTCATGTGATGATATTGATACACTTGAAAGGTGTTCAATTTGCTCAAAATTCCTGTTTGATACCAAAGATGAAATAAATCTTAGTTTTAAATCCTTGTGATGGACCTGAAAGAGAAGGTATGTCAATCATTAGCCTAGGGATCATGTTTTCTTAGGACTATTCTGGATGTGCAATGATTGCACATATCTTGGGAATACCTGAGCAGCTGAGTGATCATGTTTTAATCAGTACCAAATCCAAAGTTGTGCTTCTCCACTGTACCCAAGCACAGAAATAGGGTGGTATCTTCTTCTGATAATTACTGCAAATGAAGACTACCTCCTAAGTTACTGCTTATTGTTATTGCTTTTCTTTTTATTTTTGGTTATTACATTGCTGGTATTATCTTTCTGGCTTCCGTTGTTGATATTGCTCCACTGTCTCTTTTTATCTTCTTGAGCCGAGGGTCTATCGAAAACAGCCTCTCTACTTCTCCGGAGTAGGGGTAAGGTCTGCGTACACACTACCCTCTCCAGACTCCACTTGTGGGATTTTTACTGGGTTGTTGTTGTTGTTGAAAACTACCTCCTAAAAATGTCAAGTCCTCTTTCCTAGTTAAATACAAGGACACATAAGCAAACAACAACAACAACAACGACCCAGTATAATCCCACAAGTGGGGTCTAGGGAGGGTAATATGTACGCAGACCTTACCTCTACTCCGAAGGGTAGAGAGGCTGTTTCCAGGAGACCCTCGGCTCAAAAAAACAATAGGAGATGATATATTAGTACCATAAAAATGCGTGATAAAAATAACAACAATATATAAGAGATATGAAATATGAAATACAGAATACGAAATACGAAATATGAAATATGAAATATGAAATAGATGGCTGGTATAGTACAACTAGAAGGTAAAGCCCTGCATCAATAGACGACCAATGACATTCCTAGTCTAACTCCTAACT